GGATCATGACCTGAGCCGAAGGCAGATGCTTAACCATCTGAGCCACCCAGGTGCCCCACTTGTTCAAAATTTTAAAAACACATAATTTAAATTCCTCATATCTCATTGTTCTTTTATCTTAAGTGAAAAATGAAAGCAATAATTTTCAGTATAGGTTAATGAAATATAAGTGAGGTGGGGCTCCTGTCTAAATTTCTGGATTAGCCAGAGTTGGCCTGAGTTCATGGTGGGATGGTGGGATGGCGAAAACCATACAGGTAAACAGACAACTGGTCTGTAGTAGCATATTAAGGCCAATCTTCTGAAGACACTACTGTATCTGGGTGGTTTGACTTACTGATTTCTCATTTAGTCTACAAATCTCTACATGCACTAAGGCTCCTGCCTGCCCTACTCCCATGAACATGTTCTGACTGAGTACCAACGATGTCAATGACAACTACCATTGCAATTACACTGTTATTACTGGCTCTTCTTCCTCTAACCACTTCCTTTAATACCAACATGCCCTGGGGATTTACTGTGGTCCACCACTATTCTCCCTCTATAGAATTCTCAAGGTTCTAACTACTACGCAAATACAAAAGATTTCAGATATCTCCCCAAAGCTTTAGGTTCCATATCCAACTTCTACACAGATAACCCATAAACTCACCTTAAACTCAATATGCTGAAAACTAAACACACCATCTTCGGTGGCTCCCCACTGCCTGTAAAATCCAAGCCCCGTCCTTGATCTGGCTTCACCTTATTACTTCTTCCTCTGCCTCTTCCTTACCTTATTAGAGCCTCCCCCTCTGCCATCCATATTCATTTTTTCTGAATGCCTAATAAAATTAACCACCTAATATTTATTGAAGGTCCATTACATGCCCAGGACTATCCTAAGCACTTTATATGATTCACTCAGCAATCTTCACAGCAGTCCCATGAGGTAGATGCTACTACTTCCATTTACACTGAGGAAAGTATCCTGCCTAAGCTACAAAGTAGTGGAGTCAGCATACAAACCTATATCCTGTGCTCCTTACCTTTATATATGTAATTTCTCATAAATGCCTACACATGCCAAGCACTGTCCTGGGTATTCAAGGTGAATGGGACAAACAAGGCCCATGACCTTATGGGGCTTATAGTCTAGTAAGTAAACAGAAAAACAAACAAACAAACAAAAAACCTTATTATAAATCATTTACAAGTTCCAGGAAGAAAATAAATAGGATTTTATGACAGAAAATTCACAGAGGTAGATATACTTAACAGTGATAAAAGAAAAGCCTCTTTGAAAAAATGACTTTTAAGGAGTGACCTCATGGATAAGAAGGTGCCAACTATACAAATAGGAGGGATATATCCAGAAGAGTACTGAGTCAATAGACAGCATAAAGACGGTGTTACAGATTGAACTGTGTTGCCCCAAAATGCTTATGTTGAAGCGCTGACCCCCAATGTAACTGTATCTGGAGTTAGGATCTTCAAGGGCGTAATTAAGGTTAATAAGGTGGGACTCCAACTGGATAAGACTGGTGTCCTTATAAGAAGAGGCAAGATCAATCAATCGATAGATCAATCAATCAATCTCTCTCTCTCTCCCTGCCCCTCCACATGCACACAAAGGAAAGGCCAGGTGAGAAAGTACCCATCTTCAAGCCAGGAAGAGAGGCTCACCAGAAACCAACCCTGATGGCACCATGATATTGAATTCCAGCCTCCAGAACTGTGAGAAAATAAATTTCTGTTGCTTAGGCTATCCAGTCTGTGATATTTTGTTATGGCAGCCAAGCAAACAAATACAAATCAGAAAGACTTAGTTGTTTTCCAGGAACTGACAAAAACCAGTGTGCTAGAATATAGAAACAATGGAGATAATAACATGTCAAAAACTCTTAAGCCCATAGATGGCAGATGAACCTGAAATGAGATGATCACAAAAATATTACCTGGTGCAAAACTTTTAAGCTGGTTCATACTGGATTTGAAAATGTATGCTGTGGGTTTTTGTTCTCTCAGTGACTGGGAGTCACTAAAATAGTGACTAAAATACAGTAATTTATATTCCACTGTGGAATGCACAAAATGGCCCCACACAACAAAGAACTGAACCCTTCCCAAAATGTTAGTAGTGCCCTATTGAAGAAAAATGGCTAATGAGTATGTCTTGTTTACATAGAGGACTATGGAAAAAACAACGACGGGGTTGTTGTTGTTGTTGTTTAGTTCTTACATCACTACGGATAGTTCTGAGGGAATTATGGTGAAATAATAATATGTGTGGTGCTCATGTGCAAGGAATGGTGTTGGCTATCTTGGAGCATGTCCAAATGAACCAGATACCAACCCTAGGACTAAGAGCCACAGTAAGGTCGATATGATGCCCGATTTCATCAAATCTAAGGTACCAGTCATTATGTGTCACATTTTATGCACAACTAAGCAAGTTAATTATGACATTAACTGTAAAAATACATCTTAATTTCAGGGCTGTTAAAATGTAGAGAAAAAAAGTGAAAAAATACACATCTTAAACAAATGAAAAAGAATATGAAAATAGCTAAATGCAAATAGAAGTCATATAAAAGAGTCCATAGAAGGAATGTATTGTTTCATGCAGAAGGTAGTATTTAAGCCAAATCTTGAAGAATGGGTAGAAGTAGGAAGAGCAGAGATTGACGAAGGAATATTTTTAGCAAGAGTAAATTGCAAGAGGTAAAGCATAGCAACAATAAAATGAGGTATGGCAAGAGAGAAATATTTAAAGAGAAGACACTGTTGAAAAGTTGGAAGGACAAGGGCTAGGAAAACCTTGAATACAGCTAGGCTAAAGTGGCTGAAATTTATTGTATATCCTTGGGGAATGGTTCTCAAACACTTTTCGTTTTTTTACCCCAATACACTTTGGGGCTATAGTACACATAAAAAAATAGGGCCACTCTAGCAGTGATCGTCAACTATAAGAGATGCAAAATGAGCAAAAGCAATTAATTCTTCTGAGAATAAATTTAGAAAAAGCTGTCCAGAAAATCCTAACTTTTACCCCTACCTCACCTTGATAATCACTGCTTTCTACACACTAAAAAAAAAAAACAGAAAAATTTGAGTACCTTTTCAGGAAAGGTAATCCAGGAGAACTGTGTAAAAATGAATGAGTATTAGAATAAAGATTAAGGATTGAGAATCTACATAAGAAGCTGATCTTCGAGGAAGAAGTGAAATAAATTCCTATTATTAGATTAGCGATAATGGGGAAAATGTATGATGCAACTATTACAAGAAACAGGAAAAATAAAGGAAAGAAAAAGTTTAAAATACAACATACTAAGCTCAAACAAAGACAAGTGCACTCCAAAATATTGGTGATCATTCAGATGATGTCTAAAAGGCATCCAAGATTAAGAAAAGTGGAATTTAGGTCTGGAAAAAGCTGTGAACATCATCTAAAAAGAGTTATTGAAGCATAATATGGATAAAGCCACCAAAAAGAAGGCAAGAGAAGGTATTGCAAAGACAAATTTTTTGAAGTAAACGTGTATTAAAGCATTTAGTAGCTTTACTATAATTGTCTTCATATTTTGTAATAATCTCATGCTGATCACCATCATTGCTAATTTTAATACTATAAGTTTACAAACAAAAAAGCAAAGCATAGTGAAGATTAAGAACATGCTTAGGATCATACAAAGCAACTTAAAAAGGGAGCATTCCATTAATTTCCAATCTGGTGTTACAGGCATTTAGAGATGCCATGTGTGTGTGTATGTGTGTAAACTTAGTCAAAAAGTGAAAGTCCACACGCCTGAAAACAGAACTTGAGAGCAACCAAGATGGTATAATATAATTATAGGGGGAAATTAGTGTTTAAATTCCTAGATGGCTTTATTCCAAACACTCACTTATCCACTTCAATCTATGAAAAACTGCAGGTATATCATAGTATTGAATTGTTTTCTCCTTTAAAAAAAAAAAAAAAACCTTTTGGAGATAGTGAAAATATTTAAGAACAATATTTTTAAATCAGATATTTTTTCAAGTATTTTTTCAAGTATTGTTAAAGCATAAAGGCAATATGATCTTTGTATGTGAAAAAATACGGTTTCAAGTCACACATGGATAAGAAAGAAGAAAATCTATAATTTTCTGGTGTTAAGACTTAAATTTGTTTTTTTTTTAAAGATTTTATTTATTTATTTGAGAGAGAGCCAGAGAGAGTGAGCACAAGCTGGGGGAGGAGCAGATGGAGAGGGAGAAGCAGGCTTCCCGCTGAGCAGGGAGCCCGATGTGGGACCCGATCCCAGGACCCTGGGATCATGACCTGAGCCAAAGGCAGACGCCCAATGACTGAGCCACCCAGGCGCCCCAAGACTTAAATTTGTTATAAATTTACCAAATGACTTTACTTAAACTCTATTCATTTTGACTGAAATACCTTTTGACAAACTTCCTCCAAAAGTGGGAACATGAGGCTTAGAGGGAAAGAAAAGAAATGGAGAGGGAATAAGAGAAACCAAGAGAAAAAAAAAAAAGAGAGAGAGATGAAGGAGAGGAGAGGTGACCCAGGTGAAGAACTACTAACAGAATGAAGATGGTAGAAATCATATTGCCCCAGAACAGATTTATTGAGCAAAGAGTACGACGGGATTTTTGCTGGTGGTTGGGCATGATAAAGAGTCTTGAAAATCCTACAGGTTCATCTACTTGTACTATCATGCAGGTATTTTTCTCAAAACACTTGCATAAGTCAAAAGAATCTAAAAAGGAAGATGCAACCAGCCCACAGTCTGCAATCTGCCTAAATGATTAGACAAACTGAGATGGCTGATATCGAAGTGCCTATTAATAGCTTATCGATACATGTTCTTGAGCTACTTCATGACTACTTTCACATAAGCAAATTCCCTCAAAGGAAAAAAAAGTCCAAGTAATTTTCTAAAACTACACGCCATACAACAACACTATGGTTAAACTTACACATGGCAAGAAAAGTTTTGAAAAATGTGAAATACCTCAGTCTGACCTTCATGGGCACTGGTCTCATGAGTGACTCGAATAGCCTGTAATAAGAACACAAGATATTAATTGGAAAAAATGACTATATCCAAAATTTTAAAAGAAAACAACAATGCTAAATTTTAACATCTAAAGCTTTGTTAAGAGATAACAAATTGGAAGAAATTTAGGAACAGTTTAATATTAAAGAATGATTTCTGGGTAACCAAATGAATTGCTCTACTTTCCAACCCACAAATCCCTGAAGACTTAGGAAAGTGACTATCTGATTATTTGTAATTTCCAGATGTGAAGTGGGAGCCATTTAAATTATTTGTTAGAACTAAAGTTTTAACACTTTATTCAGCTGGGACCAGAATAAAGTAAGCATCTCACAGACAGAGACTGGAAAACTTATCTCATCTGTTTCTCCAGGTTATATGCTCCTCTGCAGCTCTAGCTGTAGTTATGCTTAATCATGCAGCTTCAGTCAGCAGTTTAAAAATGGGGAGCAGAGGGTGCCTGGGTGGCTCAGTTGGTTAAGCGACTGCCTTCAGCTCGGGTCATGATCCTGGAGTTCCAGGACTGAGTGCCGCATCAGGCTCCCTGCTCAGCAGGGAGTCTGCTTCTCCCTCTGACTCTCCCCCCTCTCATGTGCTCTCTCTCTCATTCTCTCTCTCAAATAAACAAATAAAATCTTTAAAAAATAAAAATAAAAAAATAAAAATGGGGAGCAGAAAGCATGATTTATCAGAAGCTAGAGATTTTAGTTTTCTGAACTTAAAAAAAATGCTCTTATAATACCCACTATTAGCAAAAATGAAGAAAAAGGGCAAAAGTAGTAAATTTCGGGTGAGAGTACCTTTATGAATGGCAATTTGGAAATAAGTATCAAAGTTTTAAAAACATGCAAATTGTTTGATCCAGCAATTTCTGTTCTAGGAGTTTATTTACATGTAATTGTACATAAGTATATACAATTAAGGATATCTGTAAAGATTTAGCTACAATAATATACCTTGTATATTTTTTTAAATAGTGAATAAAGAGGAAAAATATTAAATTTCCAACAATTTCTTGGTGAAATAAAATACTGCACAATGGAAAGCTACGCAGCCATTCAATGATGATGTCAAATATATACTTACTGGTACGTAATACATTTGTGATAAATTAAGTGAAAAAAGCAAGTTATAAAACAATATTACAGTGTGATCAAATTTTTGTTTTAAAAAATTGTGTGTGTGTATATCTATCTATATAGATAGATATACACACTCCCTATAAAAAATATGAATAATGATGGCTGTCTCTCATTGGTGGGATTACTGGTGACTTTTGTGTTGTTTATTTTACTTTTGTGTAAAATAAAGATATCTTATGAGATCTGCAGGGTTTTTTTTTTTAAGAAAAAACAATTTAAGATAATCAAAGTGTATAAGAATGCTAAAACAACATAATCAAATCAATGGATTCATTGGGCAAAAACTCTGTGTAAGGCATTTTTCTAGCCAAATAATCTGTACACTACACCGCTTCTAATTTCAGAGAACTTACCATCTACTTAATAGTGTTACTAAAAGGTAAAAAGAACTTCAAAAGAAAAATAGATTTCAAAACCAATGAAATTTAAATGCCACTCTAAAACAATTCTATGAAATGGTACAATCATTTAAAAGTAGATTATGTAGCCTATGTCTTCACACATGCAAAAACATTACTAAGAGGATGAAAGAGCTAAAGTATGGTGTGGCATCTACCATTAAACCTTTGCTTTTTACATTGGTATTCAGCCTTGTTCCAAATTCCCAGTGAAAGACACATAGGGTATTGGCAGGCATATATTTATTTATAGGGAGGGAATGGTAAGCAATAGTCAATCATAAAGTATTTTTAATATTTGTCAATCAAACTTTTTTTTTTCATTCAGCTCTGGATGTAGAAAAGAAGCGGCAACTGATCAACATTTATGGATATTTCAGGTAATGACACAACAAAATCCACAAGTGCTTAAAACTAGTTTCAAGACAAACCCCCAAACAGAATGTACAATCCCACAAAACTTTGCCCATAATTGAGATCAAGACAGAAAGAAGGTACCGACGTCATAGTTCTCTAAGTATCTGGCTCGTTCTTCAGGACTCATTGACACAGACTCCTCGAGGAATTTTTTCAAGGTTGATCCAGATTCTGAGAATATTAAAGAAGGTAAAATTGAGAAGTTTTGCTATCTCACTGATATATGAAAATACTATTAGCATGCTAACCTTTTCGGGTAAAAACCTTTTCACTGGTAAGCTGGGAATGTAAGAAAATTGGGATAAATGATAGGCTTTAAGTTGTTTGTTAAACCTCCATTTATCACTCATAAAAGAATGGGAAAGATTGGGATGCTGGGTGGCTCAGTCGTTAAGTGTCTGCCTTTGGCTCAGGTCATGACCCCAGGGTCCTGGGATCAAGCCCCACATCGAGCCCCACATCGAGCCCCACATCAGGCTCCCTGCTCGGTGGGAAGCCTGCTTCTCCATCCCCCACTCCCCCTGCTTGTGTTCCTCTCTTACTGTGTCTCTCTCTGTCAAAAAAAAAAATCTTTAAAAAAAAAGGGAAACTTTAATATTTCTTCAACACAAAAACATACATTCCCATTATAAGAGAACGGAGAGGGGAAAAGGTTTCCTTTACTACTTTAAAAGAAAGAACTACAGCACCACCTACTGCTCAATAAGTTAACTTTTAACTTAGGGGGGTGAGGGGGCCAAGCAGTAACACAAAATTATTTACCAAAGTGCATCTTGTCTTTATTGTTGGCAATAGCATGGATCAGTCCAATTGTTCCACAGGCATTGCTGATTGTTTGCTTCATGAAATATACTGATGATGTAACATCTTGTCCCTGAGATTTTATTTTTTCCTCCTCCTCTGTTCTGAATACTTCATACTATTAAAAAAAAAAGTCAATAGTCTACTTATGAAAATAATACATTAAAAAGTACGCAAACGTAAAACTGGGAAACTTCTAATTATCCATCAATAGGAATTTGGTTAACATACTATGGCATATCTTAGTGGAATACTATAAAGCACATAAAAAAAAATGAAATAGATTTACATATTCCGACTCGGAAATTTGTCTGATTATAGGGTGGTTCTAGGTCAATATACATTAAAATGATTCTCATTTATGTTTTTAAAATATCTACTTTATAGGGGCGCCTGGGTGGCTCAATCGGTTAAGCCTCTGCCTCCTGATTTTGACTCAACTCATGGTCTCAAGGTTCATGAGAGGGAACCCTGTGTCGGGCTCAGCACTGGGCATGAAGCCTGGTTAGACTCTCTCTCTCTCCCTCTGCCCCTCCCCATCCGCTTGTGTGCACATGAGCGCTCTCTCATTCTCTCTCACTCTCACTCTCTGAAAACAAAAACAAAAACAAAAACAAAAACGGTTAAGGGGCGCCTGGGTGGCTCAGCCGATTAAGCATTGGCCCTTGGCTGAGGTCATGATCTTGGGGTCCTGGGATAGAGCCCTGCGTCGGGCTCCCTGCTCATCGGGGAGTCTGTTTCTCTCTCCTTCTGTCCCTCCCCTCTGCTCATGCTCTTTCACTCTCTCTCTCAAATAAATAAAATCTTACAAAAGAAAAAACACAGAAGCCTGAAACACTCTGTATTCCTAAACTACCCTCTAGATATCCTTTGAGTGACTTTAATATGTCACTTATGAACGGAATGAGAATATACCAAATTGTAAGAGAGATCCAAAAGTGGCAGACGCCATTATATTCTCCACTTTAGTATTTTAGAATTGTGTTCTTTCTAGCAATAGGCACAATGAGCTTTTTAATACTGGTGATCCACTAAATGAAGAGTCCAATTGATAAGGACAACATGCTTTTTTTAAATACTGAGACCCACTAAATGAAGGAGAGCAAATCCAATTTATTCTTTAACTTAAAAAAGTGAATAAAAAAATAAAAATAAACTTTAAAAAAAAGACAGGTCATAAAACTCAATGTTTTGAGAAATTTCCAATTCAGACCATAAACTCATATCTGTATCATACCAACTAAGAAATCCTAAGCGTTAAGCAGCTGTTTGTTTTTTTTTTTTTCTTTTTATTATTCCTTACAATTGGAGTCCTGGGATAGCTATCTTTTGGCTTACTTTAGTAATCCAAAAAAAAAAAAAAAAAGAAAGAAAAGAAAAGAAAAGAACACTGGACTAAGAGAGTAAACTTAAGGGTCCTAACTCCTCAAATTTCAGAATAATTACAACCTCACCCTTAAAAGTAGTTTAGTCTAATAACGGATAATCATCAAGAAATTTCTAACTCTGAATTTCTATATTATAAACAGCAAATATTAATAAATATCCCTTCCTTAATTAATTTTTTTGTAGCACCATAAGTAGAAAAGAGAAATATTTCAGTATGTTTTAATTTATATTGAATTGAGGCTAGTTATGGCATAAAGAAAATTATCCAGGAATTTCTAGGACTGAACAAAGCCTAATTCTTATTTTCTCTGAGACTTGGCTCCATTTATTCCTGAAAAATAAGATGACCTGAGCATCTTTACACCAAGTCATCAACACTTCACTTCTCCCACATCTTTCCATTTACTTCCTCATTTTTCACAACTACTGACTTCATCCTGTTGTTCCTAAGTTTAAAAATAAAAACCAGAAGGATATGAACTCAAAAGCTGTTTTAAAAAGTAATATAACATAATAAAAAAAATTACTAGCCAAAAAAAAAAAAAAGTATATGGAGAAAGAAAAAAAAAAAAGAATTTAAAAGTTCTGGCTCCATAATGCATGTATCTAGACAAGGCCTGAAATACAGAGATCTGAAATTAAATACAGAACTCTAAGAACAACTAATTATAATCCCCAACACATCCTAAATCTACCAATAAAGCTGTATTTAAACTTAATGATTTCCACACATACTGGGTTTATTCTGAAAAGACTTCTTTATATATATATATATATATATATATAGAAAATAATTACATATTTTATATACTGAAATTGTGAATATTCTTTATTCATACCTTCTCTAAGACAGATTTAAGATTATTCTAGTCCTTAACATTTCTAAAGCATATACAACAAAATGTGATTAAATGTGATATCGAAACACGCTGAGGCAAAAAATCATATTTTATAAAAGAAGAAAATTAGCCAAGTTTCAAAGTCTAACTTAGGGCTTTATTGTCAATCAATACATCAAAATCTAAATATCATCTCTTTAATAAAACTAGGGTTTTTTTTTAAGATGTCTTTTAGATTTCCTCATTTCATGCAAGAAGGGGGTCATCTGTTCTTAAAAGAAGAGTATGTTTTTAATTCAACATTGAAAGAAAACATTACATTTACCAGAAACCTTATTATCTTAGTTACCTTTTCTGTAATAGGGAAGAGAAGTAACACTGCACACACTGGTCTTGGTACCATGCTAAGGAGTTCAGGATCCATTCCATATACATCAACAAACTGCCAGTTAGGATGTAGACCTAATTGTTTGAGAAACTGGTAAAAAGTTGAAAACAAACAAACAAAAATTGTAGTGTTAACAGGGAAATAATGAACATGTATTACTACATATCTAATAAACAAAAGGGAATGAAAGGTGCAATTATTACTGATGTTTGGTAAGAATGAAGTAAAGCAGGTTTTCCATGCACAGGGTGGGAAGAGACAGCAATATATTATACCAATTAAGAAACATTAAAATTTTATATTAAGCAAAATCCCTTTAAAAATCCATTACTTTGGGATTGAACATAATAAACCAGGACTTCACCAAACACATACAAGTTAGTTTGTTAAACTCATTTCTAGTACACGATTTTTAAGATGTATTTAAGTGCTAGCAAATAAAGAATTATATTAGATGGTCAACACAGTTTATCCTGCTTACCAAAGATGAGACTTGAGGTTTAAAGAGAAATATACATCACAAATTATATCAATGAGCAAAAAGTACATAAAGCCAAAAAAGTACAGTGATAATATGAACACCAGAAAATGCTTGATATGAGAAGTAAACTATGGGCTTCCTGACCTCTAGTACACAGTGAAACTTACTCAACTTCACCGTCTTTCATACTTGGCAAAACAACTGTAACAAAAGATTAGCGGTTTTTTAAACTCTTAAGATTTCATAGGAAAATAAAATGTCAGACCCTAATCTATTGCAGAGAGAAAAAATGAGAATGATGTCAATTTCACAATGAAGTCTTAATAAATGTTTGTGTTGAATGAAGCTGTTAATTTATAAAAGTACACCATCACAAAATAAGGTTTAGATTAAAGAAAAAAAGGAGCAGAGGGGAAAAAAATCATATTAAAAATGCATCATGGGGCAGCTGGGTGGCTCAGTTGGTTAAACATCTGACTCTTGATTTCAACTTGGGTCATGATCTCAGGGTTGTGAGATCAAAGCCCAGGTTGGGTTCCCCGCTGGGCATGGAAATTGTTTAAGATTCTCTTTCTCCTTCTCCCTCTGCCCCTCCCCCTCTAAAAAAATGCACCATTATATCTTAGTTCAAGAATATAAGTTATTGGGGTGCCTGAGTGGCTCAGTTCAGTTAAGCATCCAATTCTTGATTTCAGCTCAGGTCATCTCAGGGTTGTGAGACAGAGCCCCATGTTGGGCTCTGAGCTGAGCACAGAGCCTGCTTAGGAGTCTCTCTCTCCCTGGCCCTCTGCCCCTTCCTCCCCTCTCTCGCATGTGCTCTCTTTCTCTAAAAAAAAAAAAAAAAGAAAGAAAGAAAGAAAGAAAAAAGAATATAAGGTATCTATTGATCTAACATTATCTAAAATTTGAAAATAAGATGGTGCCTTGGGTACTTCTCCCTGAAGAATGATTGCATGTACTTGGACCATCAATTGAGATCTTGCAAAACCAATAGAAACAATGCCATGTTACATAAACAGTGCCATTCATCTCATAGTCAGGTTCTATAAGAAAAGACCTTCCTAATTGAACAGAGAAACTCCTTCTCTGCCTGGTGAAGAAACTCTAATGATAATATGGTTGGTCAAAAATAAGGTCCTAGATATGTTTAATAAGAAATGTATTAAATTAAAAAACTCTTGGCAGAATGTACTCAACACCTATTAAGTTAATCAAGTCACATGCTCTCCAACAGTCTGGGGCCACAGAAATCAATGGCCTCCTCTATATTATACCTATTCTTCATCTGATTCCCACTCACTCCAAACTACTCTCTCCATTCTCCACTTTCTCCAAAATTCTTAGTTAATGCCCTTCTCAATATTCAGGGTTTTTTTAAGCATTAAACCAATTTATTTAGTTTTATCTAGAAACCAAAAAGAATTAAAATTGACAAAATCAAGGGAAGGAACTGTGTCTTATTCATTTTTTTAATCCCATCCCCTAGCACTGTACCTGGCTAAACCAAAGACACTCAAGTTATACCTGTTGAACTGAAGATTATATCCCTATTTTAACAAATAATCTTGCCATCTGTATGTCTATGTATGTCCATTAAGCTATGGACATGTATTTAAAATATATTCATTTTTATTTCTGTCATGTTAAATAGACAGGAAAGATATATTTGCCTAATCTAAAACCAGGCATTCATTTAACCAACTGAGCCACCCAGGCGCCCGAACCAGGCATTCATTTAATCAACTCAGAATACTACCTGCTCAGTCTACGACCATACCACCCTGAATACAACCAGCTCTTGTCTGATCTCAGAAGCTAAGCAGGGCTGGGCCTGGTTAGTACTTGGATAGAAGAATACTACCTGCCCAGGATTGAGAGCTCTAAAAGTAAAAGTATCATGAACCCTGATAAGAGGATTTAAATTTGTTAATTTTATATACCCCCAAAAGTCAAACTGTCATAAAATTATAGAACAAGATGGTACACATAACAGAGTAATTTCACATCTGTGCCGCAAACAGCAAGTAACAGTTAAACATTTTAGTGACACTCTGGACAAAACTGGCCAATTACTGTGAAGTAGAGGGCCTTTGTTGTCAAATGACTCCATGGCAGCCAAAGTTATTAAGTACAAAAAGTGCCAAGATACAAGGCAGCAACTGTAGTGAGACTGGTAAGTAACAAACTGAGGAATGAATGACTAAATTAACATAAAAATGGCTAAATTTTAACTGGAATCACACTTTTTAACTTTTTACTCATATTGCTAATCAAATGAGATTGATATAAAAAATTCAATCAATATCTATCAAGTACATTACTTGCATCCTCTGACCAGATTTCTGTAAGATTCACACAGGAAGTTATCATATGAATAAAAAGAACAAAAGCAGCTATTAATAGTAACTACCTCTGGGAAGTGGAGAAAAGTGGAGAAAGGGTGAGGAAGAAGGCTTTCAACTTTTACCTTTCACTTTTTTTTTTTTAAATCATGAAGCTGTCCTACGTTGATCATGAAAACAAAAACAAAACCTGTGTTTAAATTATCCTATGCAAACAGAGAAAGATTGGATGGAAATTTTCTAAAATATTGACTGCAGTTAGCTTGGGTGGTGTGAACTCAACTTTTTTATTTTCCAGTTTTAAAAAAATGTGTTATTTTTACAATAGGTATATATAGTTTGTAAGTTACAAAAAACTATAGAGCTGACACACATATGTACTTTGGCTAAATTTACAAAACTGGAGGAAAACTCAAAATAACAATCTTAAAACTATTCCAAAAAAATCTCTCCAGACTACCCACAGAGTATTCTATATATGAATTTGCAAAGCCATCTCTACACAGTTAGAAGCAACCAGTTTGCATCAAGCAGGATAATGGATTTATAACCTCTAATACCAGTCTCTTGGCTTTTCTAAACATTGGATAATAAAATAACAAAATTCTGATTGATTAGCTCACTAAATTTTCACAATGCCACTAAAATTTTGTCAAGAAAAATGAGTAAATTAGAGTATGTGCCTTTAGGGGACCCTGGGTGGCTCAGTAGGTTAAGGGTCTGACTTTAGCTCGGGTCATGATCTCAGGGTCCTGGGATGGAGCCCTGTGTTGGGCTCCCTGCTACCAGGGAGTCTGCTTGTTTCTCTCACTCTGCCCCTCCCCCTGCTCACGCATGGTCTCTCTCTCAAATAAATAAAATCTTAAAAAAAAAAAAAAGAATATGTGCCCATAAAAGATCCTTAGGCCACTTATCTTTTTTATTCTATGGTCCAATGATAAAATTTTCCACCAAATAATTTAAAATTATTTATAAATATTTTTAAAAAGTATCATGTATCAGAAACCATGCTAAAAGGTTTAATGTACTTCACCTTTATTGCAACTGGCAAGGTAGGTTTTAATATAGCCTTTTACCAGTGAGAAAACAGAGTCTGAGAGTTTACATGATTTGTCAGGCTCACACTGCCAAAACCCACATGCAGAGCTCCAGGATGCTCTCATCCCTATTTACTTTTCTAGCCTCGTTTTTTCATTGTCTGAAGTCTCTTTTTTTGTACCTTGTTCTCTAACTTTAGCTACAAAGAACTCTTTGCATTCTCAAAGGGTCTATAACCACCTATTCCTTCCAGGTTTTGCACAAAAACTGATTTCTTTACCTGAAATCTGTTACCCTCTGCCCCTAATTTATAATGAATTCCTCCTCCTTCTTCAGGTAACAGTCAAATAACAAAGACTCTGATTTTATAAATTGAAGAAAACGGAAAAATAAAATTCACTTTCCTTTCAAATTTGTTCTAAAGCCACTTTCTCCGGTCTTTAATGGCCTGCTCAGGGCAGCAATAAACTCCGCCTTATTACTTATTTGTTAATGATTTAGGTTTTAACAGAAATTACACTTATTTAGTACTTGCTTGATATTACTACTAATAAACATATACTAGTAATTCCTAGATGCAGAAATAGGAGAATAGTAGTTAAATGAGAATAATTTTTTCTATCACTTAACTGGTTTTATTCCAGATAAGTCCTACCTGCAACATGACAAAATATCCTTAGAAGGGATCGACAGCATATTAATCAATAAGAAAAATCATTGCTTACCACATCTACAGAGACACATGGTTACTACTTAATATCTGACAGTTAATAATGATCTCCATATAGTAAATATGGATTGATCATTCTTCTACAAACTAGGCATCATTAGAACATAAAACAGTATTTGCTCAAACTAAGAGTACAATAATAATATATGCAACTATCAAACTGTAACAAGTAAAAGACCTAAGATTCCATTAAGATAGGGAAATAGAGAGTGTGGGGATAGATACTGTTGGGGTTTATCTGGTTTAATTTATTAATTCTCCAAATTCTAAGTCAGTTATTAAATTTCTATTCATTTTCTACCCTCAGTTTTGTCACTAATATACAGAGAATAAAGAAACAACCACAAAAATTTTGGTTAAAACTAATCACTCTTAGATTTTTTCCCATTCTCCCCTAAAAGCATATTACTTCTTTAAAACAAACTGAACCATGCCAAAGCAAGCCAGAAATAGTATAGAATCACACACTAAATAACATCTTTTCCCTGTTTATGTCACCTCAGAATGGCCTCCTGTCACCATCCAACCTATTATGTTTCTCCTGATGGTCTCGATCACAGTACCCTATTAATTTTTTTCATTGCACTTAAAACAATTGCTAATTGTTTGCTTGTTTATTGTCTATCTTCCCACTGAAATGAAAAGCAGAAAACCATGAATATTTTAATCACCAAAGAATAACCAGCTCCTTCTCAGATACCTGGCATTATAAAAGGTATTATTATTTATATTATATTATATAAATATTATTTAATTAATGTGAAAAAGTACACTTTTTTGGTTTTTTGTGGTTTCTTTTAGTGAATGCGTTTTATAGTTTATTAAGATTACCTAGGGAAAGTCCAATAGCAGCTGGATCACATCACAGTTAAATAAGTTTATATCTTATTAACAAATAACAATATCATCTAAAAAATAGTTTTGTTCATTAGTCTGTTATATGGTTAATTATAATGATTGACTTTTGAATGATGAACTAGCTTTCCAATAACCTACATAAACTGCTCTTAGTCATGAATTATTATCCTTTTTACACATTGCTACATCCTTTTTGCTACATTTTGTTGAAGATTTTTATATCCCATGAGGGATACTGGTTTGCAGTTATTCATATTATGGCTTGTCTGGTAATGCTGGCCATTAAAATGAATTGGTAAGTGTCCCTCCTCTTCTATGTTTACACAGAATTGGTATTATTTCTTCCTTAAATAATCACCTCAAGAGGGATGCAGAAAAGTCATTTGAGAAAATTGAACACTGATTCATGATAAAAACTCTCAGCAAACTAGGAAAAAGAGGAAACTTCTTTATCTGAAGAAAAGTATTTACTGAAACCCTACAATTAATATACCTAATGATGAAAAATCCAATGTTTTCCACCCAAGGTCTGGTACAAGACAAGGACGTCCTCTCTCTCCATTCTATTCAACTTTGTATTGAAGGTCCCAACCAGTGCAATAAGAAATAAAAAGCACACAGACTGAAAAGGAACAAATAAAAAACAGTCTATTCACAGAGAAAATTATGGTCTATACAGAAAGTCCCAAAACATCAACAAAAAAGCCACCACAGTAAGTGAATTTAGCAAGGTAGTAGGATACAAGTCAACATATAAAAATCAACTGCATTTCTATACATAGCAATGGACAATTAGAAATTGAAATTTTAAAACAGTATCATTTACAATAGTACCAAAAATCATTAAATATTTAGGTATAAATCTAACATATGTGCAAGACCTAAATGCTAAAACTACAAAACACTGTTGAATGAAATCAAAGAAGACCCAAGTGAATGATGAGATATACCATCTCAATGGATTACAAGACTCAGTATTTTTAAGATGTTAATTTCCCCAAATTAAATCTATATACTTAGACACACATTCATCATCAAAATCATGATTTTTTTGTAGAACTTGATGAGCTGATTCTAAAATTTGTATGCTAAGGCAAAGGAGCTATAAAATAACCTAAAACAATTTTAAAAATGAACAAAGTGGGAAGATCCATACCACTCGATAACAAGATTTACTACAAAACTACAGTAATCAAAACAGTGTGGAATTAGGAAAAGAACAGACACACAGATAAATGGAGAAGAACAGAGTCTACATATATGTTAACTGATTTTTCACAAAAGGTGTAAAAATCATTTTGGATTAAGTCTGAGAGAAAAATACCTCTTTCACTATGGCACTAAGTCAGAAGTTGCAAATACTGATTTTTGGGCCCAAAGATTTTTTTTTCTCTTTTTACAAAAGTGTCCAAGTGTTTTAAGGAACACAATTAACAGCAAATTTCAAAGGGGGAAAACAAAAGAAAATGGACATGATAATGGACATGGAATGCCACCTAAAGAGTAATATAGAAAGATGTATGCTGGTTTTCAGTTTTTTACATTTCTAGGTTACTAAAGAGAAGAGTTTGGAGTCATTCTGAAAACATAAAATAAACTGCATAAGATTTAGGATTTGCTGTCAACATTAAGATAAAGCATTTCTATCTACTTTCTGTATATAAAGAATTTTCTACAAGCTTTGAAAACAAAAAATTAAGTACGTGATGAATCATTATTCCTTGGTGATGAAAAGGAAGATTATGGGGGGCGGGGGGGAAGTATATCATTATGATAAAGTAAGAGAGCAGTAAAAAGTCAATGAGCTGTTGAGAATGAAAAACAGGTCAGGACAAAATACACCTGAGCAAATCAAAAGTTTATACCTGGTAGCACTTATTGTTCTTTTAATCGAGTGGCGGGGAGATGTTCTCTTTTCCCTCCCCAAACTTGAACTTTCCATACCCAGAGGAACTTTAAGTGTTTGTAGGTGGGCAAAGAATGGCGTGGGTCCCTATTACTGCGCTTTCTATGGTATCAAAGCGAAACTGAATTCCAGTTTTAAGGGACTGGAAGAGAAAGGGGGCGTGGCGGGGAAGAGAAGTGACTTGATGGAGCAAGAGAAGATGATTGGAAGATGATTTCATAGTGCAGGCGGTGGATGAAATTACAAGGACTGGGTGGGCGAGTTTACAAAGCTTGGAGTCAGGTAGTGTAGACAAATTAGTCACCCAGAAGGTACAAGGGTTGGGAAATTATGGAATCGGCACTAGCAGGAGGCAAAACGAAGAGGGAAGAGGTATGGGAATACAGGGTCAACGTGCCACAAGCCTCAGACCCGGAGACCCCAGGAAACGTGATGACACGGCAATGGGACCAGAGGAGGGACTGAGACAGCTGGGAGCATCTCCAGAAGCCAGGTGGGAGGCACACGGCCGTAAAGGGGGCACACCCGTCTGAAGCAGAGCAAGAGGGGCCCTCACTGAATCTAATTCCAGATTCCCAGTAAGCGTAGAGATGCAGGCGGGCAGGGAGGGCTCCGGGGTCCCGAGCGACAGACACCTCACTCACCTGGTTAGTGACCTGAAAACAAACAGAGAACACAATTTATAGAAACAAATGCTCTGAACTAGCCGCGGCAGCCCGCTTCCCTCGACCCCTGCCCGCGGCCTCAGCCCGAGATCCCAGCCGCGTTCACCTCGGGATTGGCCTCCAGCGGGAGCCAGCGCTGACCCTCCATTGCCTCTCCGCACGGCCCCTCTCCAGGTCTGACAGCCGCCGCCGTCACAGCCGCCGCCGCTTCCGCCCCCGCTCTTCTTGACCTGGGACCGTCTAACCCTCTGCCCCCAGCTCGGGTGGGGGCTGAAGAACGAAGAAGGGCTTGACAACACTCTAGTGCCTTTCTTGCTCTCTCCAGAGCCACACTCAAGTCTTACAAATTAAGATACAATCGAAGAGGAGAAGAGAAGCCACCTCCCTACTGCACAAAGAAAAAGAATCTGAATCCACTGCCAGCTCCCCTCTCACTTGGACTGTTCCTATCCGAGCCAGGAGCTCGCGCGCTACGCATGCGCCATGCACGGGCCTGGGACCGCATGTTCGCCCGCGCCCTGCCATTCCTGCAGCTTCATCTGGAGGCGCTAGGGGGAGCCCGAGAGGCGAGACGGAATTGCCACCCACACATCAGGAGGCCTGAAAGCCAGGGATGCCCAGGAATCGTGTCCCAAAAGTTCATTTGTCACGGTGCAGAGGTGATATGTTGGCCTTTTCTGATGTTGCAGAGTGGGTGGGGGGGGAAGGGGGGAAGGGTGCCCTCTATATACCTATTCAGTTACATCTGAAAAAAAATGTCAAGCAGCGATTATGAATCAGACTCCGCACTCACCATAGAGTAGAAGAGGTGGACAGAAAAATGAAAAATCACAATGAAGTATGATACATATGTGATAGTGGTAGCATGAGGTGTAGAACTGCAGAGCTGTGCAGCTAAAGGGGGAGGGTGTGTCCAGAAGCTTCCAGCAGAAGGTGTACAGCTGGAGTGAACCCTTAAGACATAGTAGACATTAGCCAGGCAGAGAGGAAGATGCTCTGCAGAAGGGAAAGTGTGCACTGTGGCTGTAGAGCCCGACAGATTGAAGGGCTGAGGTTAGAGGTGACGCTGGAGGGGTAAGAAGGGACAAGCCCATCAAGACAAACGGGCTTCATTCTAAAAACAGCAGGGAACCACGGTAGGATTTTATGCAGGATTTTCTTTCTTTTTTTTTAAATTTTATTTTATTTTATTATGCTATGTTAGTCACCATCCAATACATCATTAGTTTTTGATGTAGTGATCTACGATTCATTGTTTTCAGATAACACCCAGTGCTCCATGCAGTATGTGCCCTCCTTGATACCCATCACCGGGCTAACCCATCCCCCTGCCCCTCTCCCCTCTAAAACCCTCAGTTTGTTTCTCAGAGGCCGTAGTCTCTCGTGGTTAGTCTCCCCCTCCGATTTCCCCCCCTTCATTTTTCCCTTCCTTCTCCTAATATCTTACATGCTATTCCTTATGTTCCACAAATAAGTGAAACCATATAATTGACTTTCTCTGCTTGACTTATTTCACTTAGCATAATCTCCTCCAGTCCCATCCATGTTGATGTAAAAGTTGGGTATTCATCCTTTCTGATGGTTGAGTAATATTCCATTGTATATATGGACCACATCTTCTTTATCCATTCGTCTGTTGAAGGGTATCTCGGCTCTTTCCTCAGTTTGGTTATTGCGGACATTGCTGCTATGAACATTAGGGTGCATATGGCTCTTCTTTTCACTACATCTGTATCTTTGGGGTAAATACCCCAGGAGTGCAATTGCTGGGTCATCGGGTAGCTCTATTTTTAATTTTTTGAGGCACCTCCACAGTGTTTTCCAAAGTGGCTGTACGAAATTACATTCCCACCAACAGTGTAAGAGGGTTCCCCTTTCTCCACAACCTCTCCAACATTTGTTGTTTCTTTTCTTGTCAATTTTTGCCATTCTAACTGGTATAAGGTGGTATCTCAATGTGGTTTTGATTTGAATTTCCCTGATGGCTAATGATGGTGAACATTTTTTCATGTGTCTGTTAGCCATTTGTATGTCTTCTTTTGAGAAATGTCTGTTTATGTCTTCTGCCCATTTTTTGACCTGATTATTTGTTTTTTGGGTGTTAAGTTTGAGAAGTTCTTTATAGATCTTGGATACCAGCCCTTTATCTATAGTGTCATTTGCAAATATCTTCTCCCATTCTGTGTGTTGCGTCTTTGTTTTGTTGACTGTTTCATCTCTCTCCTCCACGAGACTATAAATCCCATTAGGCCTGCAGGAGTGTCGTTTTAAATTCTTCACATTGTTCCCTAAAGCCTAGCCCAGTGTCTGATACATAGTAGATGCTCCATAAATACTTGAGGAACGAATAGAGTCATCAGATATGCTGAAACATAATTTGTCAATAATGTAGGATTATTTGTAAGAGTGAAATGATGAGAAAATTAAGGCAATAACCATGGAGATGGAGAGGTAGGCACAGATTAAAGAGAAACTGTTTTAGGGAGGTATACCTTTGATGAGCAGGAATTGTCAATGATAACTCCAGAGATTTGACCTGGGATCCAGTGCATATTCCTACTCTGCACGCAGTAGAGGGCATTCTGGGAGAGGAGCATTTAGAAGTGAGAAAAAGATAATTTTATTATGCTGAGTTTGCCTTTCTTGAGGAACTTCCAACTCTCCCATTCATGTTCTTCTGGCCACTGTTCTTTGACCTCTGAGGAATTTCCAATCCTTTGACCCCTTTCTCTCCTTATCTATCTGATAGATTGCTGTTATGCCTACCCAAAAGTGACTTGGTAGATCTAAAATGTCCAGCTTGGGATAAGCAGCCATAGTGCATAATACTTAGTTGTAAGGCCAGGTTTTCAGTGGCATGCCAGGGGCTGCTTTTCAAATAACAGGCTGTCAGTGGATGGCCTTGCTCCAGAACCCTGAGGTTCTGCACTGTGATTCCCTTGTTAGGATTACCTAAGACTCCACATAGCATCCTTACTGACTGTGGACTTCTCTAGTACCATTGGATCTGCTGAGACATAGGGCCAAACAGCAAGCAGCTTGCATTCAGCATGGACTTTGCTGCAAAGCACTGTCTTGCTCAGGGACCCACTCAAACTGGCAGCCATCCATGTTGCCCGATAAATGTGTTGCAGCTATATTTTCAAGTGGGGCATATGCTGCTATTGAAAAGCCGAAGAGGCCCAAGATCTCTGCCTCTTCTCTATTAATAGGAATTGCAAGATGAAGTAAGTTATTCTTCACCTTAGAGAGGCTATCCCAGTATGCCCCCAAACTTTCAGACTCGTAAAAATATTATATAGTAGACCCCCAATCTTTGTAGGGTTTAACTTCCACACTCTGGCATGAATGTAGCTATCATCATATTGAACAGTATTTTTCAAACTTGAATATACAAACATCTGGGGAATCTGAAATGCAGATTTTGATTCAGGAAGTCTGAGATGGAGCTCAAGAGTCTGCATTATTGGCCCCAATTTTTTTTAACCCTCCTTTCACCTACCTCTTTTGTCTTATAACTTTGAAGTTTTTTCCCACTAAGGGGCAAAGCAGTGTTGATCCTTGTTTTTCATGTGTTCTGCATTTTGAATTTGCCTACTTGCTGACATTATTTGTAACCCCTAAGTTAATACTCATGTCACTTCCACAGTCATTTGCAGACATGCACAGTGGCAAAAAACTTGAGTTCCCAGCTAAGGTTGAGCAGGCAATATTCTTCCTTTTTGTTTTAGGTCTCACCTAGAAACAAATGTCCTCTGCAATTTTTAATGCCGCTTTTTTTTTCATTTTTCCATTTTTGATGATTTCAGAGTACATATGGCCCCAAGCATTATGCAGATGTTCTGTCCAGTGTTCCCAAACACAAGAAGGCTGTGGTGTGCCTTACACAGAAAATACATGTGTCAGATAAGTTCCTTCAAGCATGAGTTATGGTATTGTTGGCCAGAAGTTTAATGTTAATGATTCAACAGTATATATTAAGTGAGGTGTCTCTAAACAGAAACACATTACACAAGGTTATGTATTGATCCGTTAATGAAAATGTGATCAGAGGCTCACAGGAAACTAACCTGTATTTCCCCTGGGGACCATGGTTATGTATTGAGTAATGCAGTATTCATGGTGACTTTATAGACCATAACTACCACAAATAATGAGAATCAACAGTATATTTCCCCACTCCTTGACACTGAGTTCAGCCATGTAACTTGTTCTGGTCAATAAAATAGGGCAGAAATAATGGTGTGCCTGTTCCAAATCTAGGCCTTAACAAGCTTGTGTTTCTGCTTGCTGTCTTGCGCTTCTACCATCGCCTTGAGAAGAATGTGCTCGGGCTAGCCTGCTGGTCCCAGAAACACAGTAAAAGACACCTGGAGCACAGCAGAACCACCTCAGCTGAGCCCAGACTAGACTGGCCAACACATTGCTAACCCTTGAGAATTGTAAGGTAAATAAATGTGTGCTTGTAGTATGACTTTGGGAATTTGTGTGTGTTGGGGAGGGGGTTGTTAGTTTGTTTTTACATAGCAACAGCTAATTGCTATACCTGCCCAAACTTCAAATAATCAAATTAAAAGGAATAGCCAGGTAATTGATACACTTGCCTCAAATTCTAAAAACCAAATAAAAATGTGAAGTTTTACCTCCAGAAATTTAAAAAAATGTATATGGTAATGCAACTTTAATTTGTTAATGAACTGTTTAACTATGTTAACTAAGTGGGATGTTATTTTAGCAATGAAGCGGTGATAGATATTCAGATTTGATTCAGGCTTTACTCTTAATAGAAACTTTGGCATTTTTCATATATTCGTTGGATCCTTACCACAGTCAAGTGAGCAGGTGGGATAGGGAGGTCTCCCCGTTACAAACACGGTAGCTATGGCTTGGAGAGTGTAAATTGTTTCCCAAGGTCGCACAAGTGGCAGAATGGGACTTCAACCTAGATTTCCCGCAGCAAATCCAAAATTCTTTGCAAAGCAGGAAGGAGGCAGGAGCAGTGACGATGTTGACAAGCCAGGGAAGGGTACTCAGAAGATAAGCTGGGGATTGGAGGAAGCTAAAAAGTATTGTTGCAACAGCAGCTGCCACAATTCCTCTGAACTGTCTATTCAGAAAAATTTCACACCGTTGATGAACCACTTAGGTTGGAGATTGAGCCCCAAGGACACCCGAGTCAGCAGGAGGACAGGCAACAGAAAATCATTATTACAC